CATTATCGTTAATCACGAAAAATGATCAGTTCAATGAGCTCTTACATTAATCGATAAGTCATCTTATACGCTCTCATCTTGAATAAAGAACAAAATAGAATTATTTTTGTATAATCCTATATCTAAATTATCTTCTTAGGTAATACAACAATGGATGCTACACTTTCATTTGTTATGGCAAATATGGCTCAATGTCAATCGAATCATATTACATTGGATCCATTCTGTGGCACAGGTTAATTTTATGTTTTTGATTATTTTTTTTTTAAATATAATATTAATCTAGGTGGGATTCTTTTGGCTTGTGCTGAATTTGGTAGTTATGTTATTGGTAGTGAATTTGATTTACGTGTTTTAACAGCAAAAGGTAAATTTATTTGAATCGATTTATTCTCTTTCACGGTTTTTGTTTTTTTGATATTTCAGCAAAACCAACAAAAGCTAATACGAAACAACTTACTCGTAATCCTGATGAAATGATGCATCGAAATTTTTCTGATTATGGTACATTAAATCATTTTTTGGGTGTAATTGGATCTGATTTTGCATATCCAGCATGGCGACCAACATTTTTCTTTGATTCTATTGTTTGTGATCCACCTTATGGTATTCGTGAATCATCTCAACTTAAAAGTCGTCGTCATCAAACTGATAAAATAGATGATGATCAAAATTCTATATCAGAAAAATATGATTTAACAAATATTTATGTTGATCTATTAAATTTTGCTAATGTTTACTTATGTATTGGTGGTCGATTAGTTTTCTGGTTGCCAACACATATAATGACATATGATGAAAATTTATTACCAACACATCCATGTTTTAAATTATTTTCTAATGATGAACAACAACTTAATCGAACGGTTAGTCGAAGATTATTAACTTTAATTAAAATACGTGAAAGTAACAATAATGAAAAAGCTCAAGTGAATGAAAAATTATTTAGTAATTTTCGTGATCTTTATTTTACACCAAATACAACAATATGGGAACAATTACATAGTAATAATACTATAACTGATTCTTCGGATGTTTCAAAGAAAAAAAAACATCATGATGAATGATTTTTGAAGATAATAAATAAAATTATCGATATTATTATGTTGAAAATAATATCATAAATTTCTATAAATCTGTTTGTGATACAAAATTAATAATTATTTTATGGTTAATATTTGCAAGTTGATAAAATTCGAGTGATACATTTTATTTATTTATTTATCATGCTTACGAGGGAACCGCCCGAAGTGATTCACCGCTTTTGAGCTAATATTTTGGGCGCATAGAGGGGACCTCTAGACTAGAATAATCCTAAAGAAATTCGGGCTCATGGGTCTCCTCTATAGCGTTATAGTAATTTTACTTGAATTTTAGCCTAAAGCACGGTATGTACAAACAAATTCATTGGCAATATTTCGACCTGAAATTTTGTCCACAGATAAGGTCTACTTGTAATTAGAATATCCTGAAAATTTCGACTGAAAGGAATGTTTTCTTCGCGAGATATTGAATTTTCAAAAATCACTCAGATCCTATGAAAGATGCAAGAATCTCATGTTTTATCGACATTCAATATCTCGCGAAAGAAACATTCTTTTCAGCTGAAATTTTCAGGATATTCTAATTACAAGTAGACCTATCTGCGGACAAAATTTCAGGTCAAAATGTCGCCAGTCAAGTTGTTTGTACATACCTTGCTATAGGCTAAAATTCAAGTAAAATTACAATAACTCTGTAGAGGAGACCTATGAGCCCGAACTCTTTTAGGGTTATTCTAGTCTAAAGGTCCTCTCTATATGCCCAAAATATTAGCTCAAAAGCGGTGAATCACTTCGGGCAGTTCCCTCGTTAGTATGAGTTCAGATCTTAATCATCTCTTATCACCAACTACAATCCATATGAAAATATAATGTGCTTCGCTGTTTTTTGGATAACTTTTGATAGGAACATCATATTCAACACTCCTTTTAGATCGTATTTCGCAAAATTAATCTATCATATTTAGATTGGTAACGTATTTAAATTACTAGATGGTATTTGAGTTTCGACTCGAATACGAAATGCGGTGCGAAGCACGAATCGCGAGTTTTCGAGAAAAACGATATTTCGGAAAAAACGAATAATCGATTCTCGGAGTAATGTCAAATGCCATTTTCATCAAGTTCTTCGTGTTCTATCGATTGTAGACCTATCTTCTGGTCGTTGTGAATCGAATCGGTTTCGTTTTCATCAATCAGCTGATGAATATCAGAAACAGCTTTAAAAGTAGTCTTGATAATATTCATCACTAATAGAACTCTATGAAATCATATCAACACGTTTCTGAAAAACGCTGCTGATTGATCGTTTAATTATCTACATGATTTATTATCTATCAACACCTGTGAATACAGTTGATTATATTCAAGAAAAGAGAGTAGCCGTTAACTTTTCTCGCTGTATTCATTTGAGTTATCCCGAATCTTGAAAAAAAAGTCCATAAAAATTTGCCGTTTTTGGAAGCTAACTATAAATAAACGGTATGATCTAATGAATATCGAAAAACAAAAGATAACGATTCGATCTCGATATTTTCATCTCGCATTTGAACGAGTTTTTTCTGTTTTTCCATTCTTGAGATCACCGTGACACGATATAATAACTTTCAATGCTTACGTCGAGCTAGAAAGAAAGAAAGAAAGAAGACTCGTGAAGGACTACATAAATGCTGTGCTTCGCACCGCATTAATTACCGATTCTTATGATTCCAACAAATGTACAGTTCGACTTAGTAAATAGACGATTATCGAGTTTCTTTTCTACCTGAATAATTTATTCGATCTCCAACAACTGTTCACATTAGTACATTTTAGATTGGATAGTATTTTACATATAATTATTTCTCTTTGCAGATTAATTATGTTCTAATCATAGTATAGCTACATGATATATCTATCTACATATAATGAATAATGCGAATGGCATTAAATTGGTCGAAAGAAAAAATGGCGAAACAGTCTATAGCAAAAAATTCCTTACAATCTTATGAATTTGTTGAAAAAAGTCTATTTCAACATCTTCGACAAGTGAAATGAAGATATTTTATTGTATACAAAAAAATAATTCGTGTTTAAGTAGACCAACAAAAATAATAGTGGATCAAGAATATTTAAGCATAAAACCAACAATAGGGCTATATGATTGTTTATGTAGATGGAATGTGGATGTGGATATCAGTTCTTGCTTCATTTCTAATCTCGAACTCTACATCTTACTGCTTAATAGAGTCACTTTTAACACCATTCGGGACATTTTCGATATTTTTCAGGGAAATATTTTTTTTTTGCCATTTTTATATGATCCACATTTTATATGTCAACATTTTTTCTTTCGCCTTTTTTTCGCTATTTTTTCTTTCGGCAATTTTGATTTATATCAATAACGCAACATGAAATCACGCATTTCCTTTAAATGAATCTAACTGTATAAATTATGGACAAGAAGCAAACAGGATGTTCACTCAATACAATACAAGGATAGGATATTGAAACTTGACTTAATCGATTAAAGTTTATGAACTACAGCCATGAATGGGGAAGCTAAGCCTCACCTAGCGATCGATTTTCGAGCAGTAATTGGCATTTCGCGATTTATTTCCTTCTTAGATATTGTACAAACTTTTTCCTGTTCAAAAAGTCTAAATTTAATCGTTCACATGGTCAGATTTGTCGAAAACAGAGAAAGTCTATAAAGAGAAGACAGATCATTCAATAGAAGTACTAATAGATGAATACCTCGGTCAGTTAAATATTGCGCTTACTTCTTCTTTCTCGTCTACTACAGCTATTTCGACAACAATTACTGTTTCTAATTCTAATTCTAACTATAAGGTGAGTGTGAGTGTGGTCTTGGATATTTTCTTCACACACTTACACCTACATCGGAATCAGCTAAGTTGTAACCCATCTGATTTGATATACGACCGACTTGGTATGAACTAATTACTTAAAATAAGATTTCTTTTTATACAGAAGTGATCATATTCGATCTAGATCTATTTAGGGTCATCAGTCTATTCAGCGAAATTTGTATTCGAAAAAGTATTTCCTGCAAAAATAGACTGATACATGAAATCTTTCTCTAAAACAAGTAGCTAACTCAACAACGACAGATGGAGAATCTTACAAGCACTTCAAAATAATCAATACAAGAAGGAAACTTTACTCCAATGTGTAACTGATAAACCAGGAAAATAGTACAATAGTCCTTGTCGACACATATTTCTATGGAGCGACTTCATGACTCCAGATTTTACTGTTTTATCATTTATATTCGTTTGTAAAAAACACAAAATCGCAACAAGCAGCACGAAAAGATAAGAGGACGACATGAAAGTACAAATGTCTATCGCCATTCCTCACTCACATAAAAAGTATGTCTAAAAACACATTGATTACTCAGGTCAATGATTTCCGAGATTGAATCTATGGATTTCCGCTGGAAACCGATCGCAAAGGAGTCGTTTACGATAGAAAATATCTGGAAAATAATAGAAACTTGAAAGCAGGAATCTGGTGGTCGGCTTCAACTAAAACTGGAAAGATCTAGCAATCAGATCCAATCATTCAATTCCTATTTCCAAGTTTCATTCATTTTCAGGAATTTCCCGGTCGAAATTCACTGTATTTCATTCATCTGTGTAAATATATTTCGAATAGAACGACTGCAAAACCGAAAACTAATATGTTGTTTTTAGAGTAGGAAGTGTCTCTTATTATTTGGTAGAGGGATCGGAGTTTTTATTTAATAAAATAAGATACCGACATATACTGTACTGAAATCAATTATTACTTGAAAATTAGTGTAAAATGGAATTTCATTGTCACCATACTGTTGAACGAAAGCGTTAACTGCCAAATCTTTTTTTCGAATTCCAGTCACCCTTACTCATACATTGTAATACACGGAAATTAATCACATGAAATTATTCTACAAATCATCATTTATATACACACATGTAAGTCGATGCACAAAATAATGGCAGTTTCTCGAAATTTTCAATAACTATTTGGGGCAACGACAACGACAACTGGGATATTTACAAAATTTCTCCAACATGCACGGCAACAGCAACTGCTTACACTTTTTACATTTACGATTTCTTTTCTTCATTTCACCTTGCCGACGTGATCATGATGTTTCTTTTCTTCCTGTGAAGGGTTGTTTTTTATTCTTTTCATTTTTTATAATGACATCATACTTTCCAACATACTATGCAAATAAAACATTTTGCGCACTACTCCGTGCTTGCGACATATCACTTTTGCTCGCCGACTCACTAATTTATAGGTAAGATAAAATTATTTTCTCTCATCATGTGTTTGCATTATTCTCTAATGGATACACAGAATAGTAACAAAAAAAATAAGTATACCTTTCTATTAAGTTGGAATATTCACATCGGTAAGCATCAGCAAGAAAACATAATTATCGTTTAGAATTCTAAATCTAACGATGGTACCACCCCTAATGATTTCGAGTCAAGGAAGATATAGTGAAACTTCCGAATTTGCTTCACTAAATCTTAAAGTACGATAATGTATTAGAGCTTTATTACTAGAGAGATTTATATAAAGTGAACTCAAACAACATAATATGCTCGTGACACACGTTGACAGTAGACTTGAGATAGTTAAAAAGGTTTAGAGGATAGCTTTGACAAACTCTTGAAGTATACTGAGGTACAGAATTTTCGCTTTTCCTCCTTGATTTCGGCTTCATCATTTAGTTTCAAGTAAATCTTACGAGGGAACATCACCAACTGATACCCTCTGTTTGAGCTCATGTTTTGCTCATTGGTAGGACTTATAGCGCAAGTAAAAATTCTAAAATGGTTCGTACCATTAAGCCTTTCTTCTTGAGCTATGGTCTTTTTACTGAATTTTTAACTTATCATAGGGTATGATGAAAAAAACCGCAACGAGGAGTTTTTGCCTGAAAATTTCTCCAATAACAGGTCTTAGAATCCTTATCATATTCTGAAAGTTTCAACTCAAACAGATCAGTTTTTCTTAAGATATGGAACACCTCAAAAATGGACTATTCTCGGAGCTTTTGCGAGAAAGTAGTGGTTTTACAAATGTATTACCTCAGAAGAGAAGCTTTCGTTTGAGTTGAAACTTTCAGGATATAATAAGAATCCTAAGACCTGTTATTGAAGAAACTTTTAGGTGGAAATTTCTTGTTGTGGTTTTTTTTATAATACCCTATGATAAGCTGAAGATTCAGTAAAATGGCCATAACTCGAGAAGCAAGGTCTAATGGCACGAACCATTTTAGGATTTTTATCTGCGCTATGAGCCCTACCAATGAGCAAAATATGAGCTCAAACGGAGGGTATCCGTTGGTGAGATTCTCTCGTCAGTGTGAGCGTGGCTGCTGGTATGGGTATGGGGTGGGTGTGAATGTGGAGTGGGTATGTGGTAGAGATGGAAGTGGGTCACAGTGAACAGAAAAAAAGGACCAGAAGCAATCGTTACAATTAACATAGCTAATAACTTGATATTTTGCAGAATTATGCTTCTCACTTGATGCTGATTAGCTGTGTTTATTAAGCCTTTTCTACTCGTAAAGCTTCTGAAAAGTAGTTTTTTTACTGAATTCTTCAATAAAATCCCGTACTTCTCTCAGATCACATTGAAAGTTGACTTTTTAAATTTGACTTGAAACTTTGCGCAAATAATGCTTTCAATGAAACAGGCTCATTCCGATAGTTCCAGCCTTTTTTTTTGTTGCTTCTGTTGTAAGATGCGGGTATTCAAAATTCTGTTTTATGAGAAAGCAAATTTTGTGCTTTTTTTAGTATATCACGATAGAGACAAGGGAAAAGGCTGAAACTTTTACAATGAACCAGTTTCAATGAAAGCATTATTTGTGCAAAGTTTCAAGTCAAAACTAAAAGGTCGTTTTTCAACGTGACCTGAGAAGGAATACGGGATTTTGTTGAAAAATTCATTAAAAGTTCGATATCATAAGAACGAAGGCTTGGAAAACCAAATCATTCTAAGCTTTTCATTCCTCGTCAGTGCTCATCGAACGAACATAGTCCGAAGCAAGAAATGATTTAGTATCTGGAGATATTTCCACGCGAGTTACCAAGCTTTCTCTCTGAAGAGTCCAAAGTTAGAAACTATCTATGGATTATGTTTAGAACAAAACAACTGTTGTAATAGTTTAAAAATTCATGTATTTGAGCTTGCATTGTCTATTCGAAACGATTGGAAACCTAATCGATCTAAAAGG